TCTTTTATATAGGAAACCATCATTTCCTTGCTAGAAAGAGAATCACCAAATTGTAACTGAGAGCATAAGGCTAGACAGTCATTTTGTAACCAGAACTGACAGTTGCAGAGCTAACCACCTTTGGTGAATCAAAAGAAAAGAATTACTAGAGTGAGGGAGGGAAACTTGATTCTGTTATCTCTTAAATTATTCCATCTCCCCTTTTAGCCACTTAATGCCCAAGACTTAATGACTTCAATAACCAGCAGTCTTTCCAGATGGTCAACAGAAGCACAAAAGGTTATAAAATACCAATAATAGAAGTTTGGATACTCATGACAACTTTCTTCAAAAAATTAAAATAATTTTTAAATTAGTAGTTACACAAACACTATCATTGTCTGTTACAAACTCCTGAGCAATCTGATTCTTCATTCCTCTCCCTAACTTCTTTCTAGCACTGTACATAAACCCAAATCAAGAAAAGGGTTTCTGTCCAATTATTTTAATTTACTCATCAATTTACTCTAATTTAGTCATAATTAGGACTACAGGAAGAAAAACCCTAGTGACAAAGGAGAACAAGTATCCCCAGAATAGTCCCAAAGAATCCCAAGTAGGTACACAAAATGGTTTTATTGAAAATATTAATAACTGTATGAAACAAGATAAGGAAAATATTGCATAAAACCCCAAAACTAATTTACAGGATATAAATCACACTAGCTCTATTTGTATTTTTTAAAAATCCTTTAAAACCATCTCAGCAATGAGACACTCATTTCCATATTCAAAATTAAGTTTAAAAAGACAAACAAACCCCCCACAACAATGACAGGTATCAAGAATTTCTGAGACAAATTTTGCTCAAATGAAGTGAGGCACTCAACACATCCACAGCTGGAAATGAAATCATGGATTTGACAACTATAGGAACACAACCCCAGAGCAGAGTCCAACATCCATCACCTAATTGCTAATGTGGCCCTGCATTATGATAAACATGGTAACAATAGAGATATTTAATTTATCACTCTGTTTGTACAGATTTTTGTTTGGGGTTTTCTTTATTTCACTGGTTGCCTAAACCCAACAGATCCTGCTCATGGTAGGTTCTAAACACAGGCAAGAGAAGGTTCAGCTCCTTCATTTCACAGGTCAACTCCTCTTGGCAGCCCCTGCACTCCCACCTCCAGCACAGCTGCAGGATGTGCTGCCTCACAGCACTCACTCTGCTCAAGGCAAACACAAGCCTTTAATGCGGGAGCATTTCCACCTGCCCTCTGGCATTTCCTGTATGCACTTTCCACCTATTCTGTAGGTTAGGAGGAGGATTTTTCCTCTGTTTGTCGAGTAGAGTACCTAGCTGAACGGCGTGTTTAAATAATGCCAAAGGTCTGCAACATGCCAAGCCTTCCAAACTCTGTATATCCTGCTTACTCCTTTTTCCCTTCTTTTTTTAAGAGAACCAGTATTTAACTGGCAAACAGCTTGCTACTGAATGTACATAATTACTGTCCAGTGTGCAGGTTAAAGAACGCAGTGCAGTAAACACAAGAAACCACAAGTATTTTTATTATACAGACACTCCTGCAGATAGTTAATGTAAGCCATCTATTTAAATCCTGAATTCGGAGAATCCCACACTACCATAAAATAAGGAAGGAGAACATGAAGTGCCAGCAAAATATAACTAATATGCCCATCATAAAACTAATCAGGCAACTGAAAACTACATGCAGCAAAATTAAGATTTCAGATACAAGAACAGTGCAGAATAAGATCACAGTTAAAACAGGACAGAATTTTTTTTTCACATATTTGATACATCAAGGTATAAGTATTCCTTATCTTTTTTTCTCTTCTTATTTTTTTGTCAGAACCAGATCCAAGTGTACTTACAAATCGTCACTTACAGACTGGAAACAAATATTATGTTGCCTTCTTTCCAACATCTCCCACAACTGGGGATAAGATTTGCATTCCAGCACATTAAGTGCACAAATGCCACAACAGACTGCAATGACAGTGCACAACAAAGCAGTATGTGATCCTTTTATTCACAGCCTAAGTTGAAATCATTCCCAATAAATCAGTAACAGTTTTGTTACCAAGTTCTGAAGGTATTTGAACCCTCCTCCTTTGGGACAATCTCATCATGCAAATGAACATATACAGGCCTCTCCCAGGCATCGAGACACTTCAGTTTGGGAAGTGGAGCATGTTATCCAGTGTGAAAGAACCCCACACAGGAAGGGTTCAGCACAAAAGTGCTATTTGCACTTAAGCTGATAGAGCAAGTTGATCACAAATCTCTCCAATAAAATGTTCCACCTAGCTTAGCTCCTTCTTAGCCTATGAAATCTCATAAAAAGGGATCCCGTTACATAAAAGAAAGAAGACAAACACTGTATAAGCATCTTACAAAGAAATAGAAGAAGTTATCTTAGAATTCTATAAACTAAAATTAAAAAAAAAAAACCAATAATCCTTAGAATCACTGGCAGTAAGACACAGTAGCAATTTCAGTGAAGCAATATAGCTACTGTTTCAAAATTCCTAGCTGGCATTGTGGCGCTCATTCAGGGCCAAAGCAGACATTCAGCATCAGGAAGGAATCCTTACCTCTCCAGCAAGGTTTTACGTTGCAGGGAGCAGATGCAGCTCTCGCAGAACCTCTGTTACACAACTGCAACGATCCATGACAAGTTAATGCCAGCAGCACTGCTTGGTGCATCACCTGTGCCCCTCAATTCCCAAGTACTAACAGCAGCCATCAACATCCTCTAATGAGTCTACAGCTACAACCTGCAAAGTTGTAGTGCAGGATGAACACTCACAACAGTGAAAAGAAAATGTGTTCCTTTTTTGTACTCTTGACTTCTTACAGACAGGTACAGTGTATTTATAGCACACCACCTATAGAGATTTAAGGAAAACAGTATTTATTGAGGTGCCAATAGTAAATCGTTTTGCATATTCATTGCAACACTTGGGATGCAGCTACAAATCTATTCAGAATTTCCTCAACGCAGTTTCTTCCATCAGTGTGATGGCTACTGGACTGCAGCCCATTTTGCCCTCACTGCCAGTTTATTCACTCTGTACAAGCATTATTACACTGATAGAATTGGTCACAGCAGCACATCCTGTTCTCTAACAAACCAACTAGATAAGGTCCAGGCTCCAAAGTGCTACAGGCAAGAAACAAAACTCCTAAGAGTATACTAACATGGCAATGGGAGGAAAAATAGTGTAGTAAACAAAAGTGACAAAGAAATAATAGATTTAGAGAGCCTTCTTTATAAATCACATGTGGTTTATATTCCCTGTAACCCAGCTGAATGAAAGCTTTCCTTCCTATTAGTAAAAGGTTTATAATACAAAGAAGTTTTATTATATGAAAAAGTAACATATTCCTCAAACACTGCCAAATTTGAGTCCCAAGAGGCAATTTGACATTAATCATCTGTTCAACACTGTATGTGTTTCAGACAATCTCTTGCCAGTCCTTCCACTTCCGCTTTTCCTGTATGTCGCATTCCCAATATTGTGGTCTTCCACAAAATAATACCACCTTTTCCTTTTTGGTTATTATCACTTGTATAGTTTACTTGCTACTAAATGTCTAAAGAAAAGTTTAAGGGTTTTTTTTTGTTTTTTTTTTTTCTGGTACCTGCTATCTCTCTCTGTTTTATTTGCAGAAGCAGTGCTAACAATATCAGGTTGATCCCTCAGAAAGTCTTAAGACGATTGCTCACTCCTTGAACAAAACCAATTTCATTAAGATGTTAACCTTAAAAGCTACTGAAACCAGGACTATAGTTACAGATCTGGGCAAGACTAAGTTGTGGAAAGTGAAACTGAGCACACAAAGGCTACAATAAACCTGGAGGACAAAAAGTAGAAATATGTTGGCTATGAAATTTAAAAAGTGGAAGATGAAGAGAAATTAAAAGATTATAAATGCTAAAAAAAATCCCCTTATGTTCAATAGTTAAAACTATGGACAAAGAGCACTTCTTTTTAGAAAAAAGCTTTTCAAAACTTTGACATTTGAACCATCACTTTGTGAAGTAATTCTTCAGCAAGAGTAGCAGCAATGTACAATCCTAAATAGTTTTAAGATGCCTGAAAGAGTTACAAGAGCATTTAAACAAAAGCATGTTAAATAAAGCAACTGATAAGACTCATACAGGTTTCCTCTAGTTCAGTGAAGCTGTCTTAGATTTCAGGTAAGTTTTTGTCCCAGCTTTATAAGGAAGTAACTGGAAGTACAAAGTCCTTCCTACCAAAGAGGGATGCACAGTCCAGGAAACTTGCTAACCATTAATTAAACTAGTAAGAAGGAACACTTGGACAGGCCTACAAACTAGTTTTAACACACTATAAATATATATACACACCGAATTTAGAAGGCTTGTATTATGAGGAGGCATTTTTGCTAGCATTGTCAGGTCTAACAGAATTATCATTTTAAAAAGAGATATAAAGTTTCCAGACAAAATTTAAGCAGGGACTGGAATCTCTTAACTGATCTTTTTGAGATGCAAGCCTCAGCACGCTCTTCCAAATTCTGAGATGGTTGCGCAGCTCTCCATGGCAACCCAGGATACATGAGCCCCGGAGTCACTGGCAAGAATTTAACAGCAACAGCATTAGGCTGCAAAAGCTTCTAAAGCAGAAGAAAGGCCACAGCTTCAGGGTGGGATAAAATTTGTGTCTCGGCTATCGGGTCAAAAAAGGGTTAGAGAGCAATTTCTGATTTACTCCTCCATTTAAAAGTGAAAAAGCAAGAGAAGCGCAGGAACTACACTAGCAAGACCTACAGATAAATGGGACTAGGTTGGGTAGGATCAGAGTTTAGATATGCCACAGCACAATGCCTAACTCAAACTCTCGAACAAGAGTTCAGAGCTTGCTCTATGTGTACCTCACTTCTCGCGTTATGCTTGCATATGCTTTGGTTCCGGTTCTGTCACCAGCCTGTTTCGCTCCTGCCCTTACGCCTTTATTCACCCATGCCGCTAGCAGCGGAGCCCAAAGCCGCCCGAAGCACAGCCCTGCGGAGCCGCCTCCAGGGCGACCGCGGCTCACCGCGCCGGGCACGGGCACGTCCTGCCTTTGTTCGCCCAGGGCGCCCGGCGGCTGCGGCACCCGGCACCGCGCTTCATTCGCAACACGCCGCCCCGCTCGGAGCCCCGTTCTGGCACCCAGCGCTCCCCGCCGCACCGCTCACCTGCGTGCCGGGCCGGCGGGGCTGCGAGGGGCCGGCGGGGCTGCGAGCGGCCGGCGGGGCTGCGAGCGGCCGCGTCTGCGTGCGCCGGGCCGGCGGGGCCGTGAGGGGCGGCGAGCCCCGCCCGCCCACGCGCAGCCGCTGCTCGAACCCGCCAATCGCCGCCGCGCGCGCCCGGCCGCGGGGGCGCGGCCGCCAACGGCCGGCGCGGCCGCATCATCCGCACGGGCCAATGGCGGCGGCGGGCGGGCCCCGCCGGGCCGGAACGAACGGCACGGCCGCGCTGCTGCGCCGGGACCCGCAGGAGAGCGAGGCTGCAAGCTCGCCTCTGCCGCCCCGAGCGACTGCAGATAAGGTGAAACAACGCTTTTATGAGTTGCGTTTTATTTGATGCACGGGGACGAGAAGTAAATTGGGAAAAAAGTTTATGGTCTTTCTCTAGAGCATAAGCTAAAGAAACACTTTAGAGTGGCGGGGAAATGGGGTTGGGGGATTTGTTTGCGTTTTTCAGCCTGAGGTTGAAGTCTAGTACCACTCGTGGCTCTTTTACCAAGTTTTTTTTTTTGTCTGTACGACTACAGCCGGGTTAACGAGCAAGGACAGGTAGCTGGCAGCAGCTGCTGCTCCCGATGCTTTTGTCATTTATGTCTTATTTCCTCCAGCAGAGTTACACTAGTGCAAATAGGGAAGCATCCATGTCAGTAGGATTGTTCTAAAACGACTACAATAGGCAGATAATTAAATATTAAGTACCTAAATAACTAGGTATTATTGTCATATATAGTTGAGTATAAAATAACTATTAATCATACATTCCAGATTTTGATCCATGCAGTAATAAAAGCTCTGTCCACAACTGGCAAAGCAATGGCATTGATATTCTAAATAAACTGGATATGAAGACTACAAAGAAGTGCAAACTGCTAGACTGGATGAAAGCCCAAATGAATAATTCATTTTTGGATGCATTAGACTGTAGCACAGAGGCAACTGAGGAGGAACATGATTACTTAGTTTATGATGGAGATACTGGAATAGGCTGTAAATATAACAATAATTCAGATAATTTGAATGCCTGTAGTTGTACAAAAGATATTTCTGGTATTTTAAACTTAGACAGTTCGGAAGAGAACAAAAACATAAAAGCAGCAGCCAATTATGAAATTCTTCTACAGCCTGAAGAATTCTCCAGTCATCACAGAGGCACCAGAGGAACAACTGGAGTTCCAATTGAAATGCCTGGAAATGAAGCTTCCTTTCAAAAGGAACTACCCGTTGGTAGTTCCAGTAAGCCAGATAGCAAAGAACATGTAACTACCTCCAAGATGTCCAAGGTCCTCCTGTGTCATTTTCCTAGGGAGGAATTACTAAGCACATGCCACTTAATTGAATGCGAGACAATACCAGAGGTGTCCTTTACTGAAAGTATCGATGACACTGGGAGCAAGCCTGAGCCTTCAGAACACAGCAAAGGCTCTTTAGTGTATGAACAATGGGCAGCGAGCTCTGAGGAGTACCCCTTAGAAAAGCACAAAGAAGTAAAGGCTTGTGACAAAGATGGAAACTTGTTAAATGGAAATAGATCCGTTTCAAATAAACCTATTTTTTCTTCTGGTCAGTGTGGGTGCAGACAAGAATACTCACAACTGATTAATGAGACTGGAGATACACACACCTTTCAAAACATGAAAGATGAGAGAACCCTGTTTAAGAGAACAGTTTCACCTTGTGAGCTCAAATATGGCCAAGGGCAAGCTCACTACTGCCTTCCTGACTTCTCCGAAGTTGCTTCACAAGTTCAAGTACCAAAGAAACCTGACAATATTACCTCAGTTCCTTCAACTGAGAGAGCAAAACCCTTTCCTGTTTTGCAAAGTAAATCAGTAACTGTGAACAATACTTTGGAAAATAAGAATTACTTCAATTCTGCTGAAGTAGAGAATCAAGAAGAAAGGAGTATTTCAGAACTGCTCCAACAGCTACAGGTAATTAGGATACTTGAAGAAATGCTTCATACTGGCTAAGAGTGGTTTATTGTAAGAAGATATTATCCCATAAAATCTAACATGACTAGCTCTATAGGCACTCTGTAGGTATCAGTGAGTACATCATCTGACTCAAAAACTACTTTACAAATAAAGTTCTGTGAAACTGACTTTATACAGAATTGTCATTACCAATTATTTAAAAGCTGAGTATTATTTAATGCTCCAGTGTTAAATACTGGAGTATTGTTTGTAATGATAAAGCATCCTATCAAGTCATTAGGAAATCCACTATAAAGTGTTATTTCTAGTGTTAAATGTTTAAATTCATAAAAAATACTTCAAGTACATTTTTAAGAACAAGTATTTTGTACTTTGCCCATGTTAAGACATCTTTGCCTTTTTTCACATCTAACACTCTGAGACTGGTATTTATTGACAAGTCAATTCTTTCTAAAGGATTTTTTTGAGAGCAATATTTCTCTTACTGCTGTGAATTTATTTTAAATCTTGTTAGTCATCAGATAACTGCTGCTCAATTTCATGCCCTGACATGGAGCTCACACACTGGGTTTTAGAAGTTCTTAATTCTGTTCTTAGATTTACATCTTAGTAAATTGCTTGAGATACAAGTTTTAATAGTTTTCCCTATTATTTCCCGGCTTCAAATGAGATGCTGACACAGCATGCTGACATCCAGAATCATATTGACCATCTGAGATTTAATCCTAAGGTAAATCTCTCAAAATACTTTTTTTTGAAGTAATTCTGCTTTACCTCTAGGACTATGACTATCCTCTAAAACTATTTTGTCACATTCGTATTATATTTTCCCTTTTCCTCTATATTTTCACAACACAGAGAAGTACTTTAGGTATTTATACGAGACTTTACATGTCTGTCAACTCAGAAAACTAAATGGTACTGTTACAATAAACATTTAATTAATATTTTGTATTTTGAGTTAACGTTTTTTGTCCAGGTCCATAAATGTTCTAGACATTGTCTCTATAATGAAGGTTTTTATTTTAACAGATACTTCCTCTGTCAGACTTTGCAAATGCCAACACTGCCATTTCCTCAGGACACACTGGGACATCACCTGACATCATCGCATTACGTGCTCCTGTCCCTGTACAACCTACACACAGTTTGCTTAAAGCAAGTAAATAAAATTACAGTAGCTATGCAAATGACTATTTAATGCAATTTGATTACATTTTTGGGCCAAAATTGCAGTTATCAATCTTACCTTTTATGTTATAGGACTGCAGCCTGGAACAGCAGCATCAGCACTACCAGCAGCTGGGACAGTAAAAGCACAGTATCTAAATCCTTCTGATTCACTGCCAGAACTAACACTAGGAGAAAAGATGTCTCAAATACTAAAGGATCAGACAGAGCAACTGACTAAGAAAGTAAGAACTCTGTTTTAATATATACTTTGCACTGATGCTCAAATTCCATACTCTCTTGACAAATTTGTTTAAATATAATAATCAAGTCTAATATTTTGTCTTGAAGGTCGAAGACTTCTCTAAGCATATGATCCAGGAAACACTCTTTTTACAAGACAAATACCTGGTAAATTAATTTATGTATTTTGAGCTATCTTGAGCACTTGAAATGGCTGTAGATTTACAATTTTCTGGCAAGATTCTTGATGCTTACCTGAAGTGGATATTTACTCTTCAATTCAGACTGAAGGTATGAGATTAGGAAGCAAAAATGAAGGTGTTCAGTAGGTGGACAAATTCTTAAATCTTTTAAGGATTATGACTTAAAACTATTAATAAGAGGCCTGAAGTTGCCACATAAGTTAGGAATTTTGATATGTAGGGCATTCGTTCAGAATAATTTTTATTATTTTACTTGGACACAATAGAGCAGCACAGAGTATTAGGTGAATATACAAAATGCAGTCCTGTTTCAATTCAGAGAAATAGCAAAATTCTTCCCAACAGCACTGCAAATAACATCTGGCTTACATAGCAAGACATAGTGATAGCTACTTCTACTAAGTTATCATGACATTTTGTATTAAATTATTTCTTATTGATGAAGGCATTAAATCAACTGAAAGGATACCTTGATGCCTTGGAAAGAAATTATTTAAAAGCTAGAGAAGAGCACCACAACTTACAGCTGCAGAACTACAAGGACAAGCCTATCAACCTTGGAGAGTTTGATCCTGAGAGGTTAGAAGAGAAATGCTAAGTAGTACATCAGTCTATTTTCTTTGAGTGTCTTACAGATTTTGCTTCATTTATCCATTAGAGTTTTCCTGAAGTGAAAATATTATCTTAATGTGGTAAACTATAAGTTGTTTGGCCAAAATTCACCTTGGGCTTTATATATCCTACTTGTAATTGGGATATCTATTTGAATAATTTAAATACTTAAAAGGGACTCTAACAACTCCATACATCTTATTGTTTTATTTTATGGGAAATGTACTGCAATGTCCACCATGGTTTTCATGGTAAGAAATAAAAGTTCACTTTAGAGAGTTTTAAGTAACTGTGAGTTGTGATTGAATTTAGAAGGGTGGAAGGAGGAATATTCAGACTTGGCATGCTGCTTGAAGACATTCAAGAACAAATGGATGGCAGCAAAGGCAGCCTGTCATCGTTACTGACTTCCTATGAATCTGCCCAATCTTTCTGTGAGGTAACTGGCTTTTATTAAACACTACAATTATTCTGTTTTATTAATGTAAGCCTTGAGAATCTAAGTGCAGTTGTGTGATTGTATGTTCTCCTCTAGTAAGAGCATGATGCTTTTAGATAGCACATTATTTCAAAAGAAAATATTTTTAATGAAATATTAATTTCATAATATTAAATAATATATATAATGTATATTAACTTCATAATAGTAATTAACTGTAACAGAAACCTAAGTATAAAAACTAAACTATACTGAATTTTCTTACTTCCAGTTTCAAAAGCATTTATTTCACAGTAAGAAAATATGAGTAGCTAATTTAACTTCTGCAAAGCTGTTTTGGGGACTTAATCACTATCATTTCGTGGGAGGAAAAATTACTTTGTCCAAGATCTTCAGCTGCAGAATTACTAGAAGACCAAACAGTATTGTGCTAGAGAAAATTGGGTTTCTCCCAGGTCATAAATACACATACACACTCCCCCCCCCAAAACAAATCTTGCCATCTTCTACAAATCTACAGGTAAGTCTCAACAAATGCTTTCATAACCAATGTTTTAGGTAACTTGGGCTTCAGAGAAAAATGGTAAGAGAGCCTGAGGAGATGCTGTTTGGTAGGAGTGTTTCCTTGCAATGCAAGGCCCCTGTATACCTGTGTCTATGCTTTGTTACTTTGTACAGAGCTTGGCAGTTTCAGGCACTGCTGATCTTCCACAAACAAGAGGTACTGAAACTCTATTTTTTCACAAGAAGCATAACAGAGAAAGAAGTCAGACAACCGATGTAATCCTACCAGCAAATCAACTTTCTTTAGAAGGCAAAAAGTGCAATCTCTGTCTGCACATGTAAGTGAAAACATGGAAACAGCTGTTGAAGTTTTTTAAAAAAACATACATAAAATTAATTGCTGAATAAGAAAATTAGGATGATTGAAATCTGAAATGCAACACAAATATTTACAGAATAAAAACTGTACAGAATTACATAACTGCATATCTAAGAATTCCTCCTAGCCTGGTCTCCTTACCTTTCTCAGCCTGAAAGTATTTCCTGAAGCCAAAACACCACCATCACTTTCACCTAGGAGTTAAATCGTACTTCTGTATAAAATTCATGACAGCCACACAAATTCAGGATGTGAATAACTAGTCAGAGTACAGTGCCAGTAAAAGATAATATGCCAATATTTATGTGGTATTCTCAATTAAACAAGAAAAGGGAGGAAGGAAATCCTTACATAATTAACAATCTAAACCTTGTGAAAACTCTAACCACCAGCTTCACCCTCCTGGGAAGCATTTTACAGGTGTTAAACATCTCAATGAGATTAGAAAAATAAAATAAGGGGTCCCCCCTTGACCAATCTAAGGTTAAAAAAAGATAACTGAACTAAGTTCCAGTAGAGAAGCAGAGCTTCTGAGAAAAGAATGCATGCAGCGTAGAGCACAGCCATAGTAACCTATATCTGCTTTATTTAAAAGGGCAGGTGTTAATAGTTGCCTAATAAAACTCACCTAAAACTCACTCTTTTCTGTCACTGAAAGAATATTAGTTCAATCTTCTGATTATTATACTCATGGACAGGCAGAAAATTTTCCAAATATACTTGGTGATCCTGTACACCCAAAGTTAAAAATATACATCAAATGACTCAAACAAGGAACTTTGTTCTTTTTTTCTCAGAAGGTACATCTCAAATATTCTTCTAATTACCTAAAGGCATTAAATTAGAACATTAGTAACAGCTCAAAGTTACTAAGACACCAAATAATATTTCATGTATATTGTATCAAAACACTATCAGTGGTAACAGATGGATGTATCTAAGATTTCATACTACTTTACTATTCCAATACAGGATTATCAAGATCTCTACTTTTAAGAATTTTTAACAGCTGTGGGAAGCCAGGGTGCTTTTGTCAGAATGTATCCTTTAACTAAAGGGTTCATTATTTTTCAACTGGTTAATTATTAAACTTTTTACCACTTTTTCAGATAACTGACACAAGTTTTCTGTGAATAAATCTGATTTCTTCTCAATTATGAAGTAATTAATCAATAGTAGAACAAGTTTATAAGTCTCATCATAGAAATACTAAGATATAATTAAAATATTCTGTTTTCATGCTCGAAGAAATACAAACATGCAGGAAGGAAAAACTGGAACATCTCCACTCTTCGTGCAGAGAAAACCAACTGATTTATCAGATACCAACCTGAGTAAGTCATGAAGGCATAAAAAGGTCAGAACCATGCTTAAACCTGCTAGGGAATCCTGTGAAGAAATACATTCCTTTTATGTCTCAACATGAAAATTGTAGTTTTAACAGATGTTACTGCTTAGCAGAGCACAAAACACAAAGAATAAAAAGGAAATTAAAAAGAACACCAGGTCAAATTCACTGTGGAACTCTCAGTGACAGATGAAGAGACAACAGACACATTGCAATGCAATTTTCAGTTAGATATGAATGAAAGATTTTTGACTTGGTCAAACATTGAAACAGTTTGCTCTAGGGAGGCTGTGGCATCTCTGCTCTCAAAGATATTCAAAACTCAACTGGACAGGGTTCTAAGCAACTTCATTTAAGTTGGGCCTGCTTTGAGAGGGGACAGAATCAGATGACCTCCAGAAGTCCTGTCCAACCTGAATTACTTTATAAATCTAATTTAGCTTTCTACATTAAGTTTCCAAATAGTGCCACTACTAACATTTTACATTTTCAAGAGCATGACAGGGATGTGCACAATGCTTTGGTTTTGCTTTTTCTTCTGAGTTGCATTTATTTCATGTTCTAGAAGATTATTCCAAGCTTGACAACTGAGACACTTCATATCAGTCCTTCCACTTTCAGTTTTTGGATTCAACTTTGTTATTCTGCTTAAAAACAATTTTACCTTTCCACTGCACAATATTTTGAAGCTTTTAGTAATGAGCAACTAAAGGAGAATAGCATGAGCTGTCCTACATGCAGTCTGAATATACAGGTTTTCTTACCTTTTTGTCTATCAGTTGTCCTTGACTTTTCTGTGATATCCTTTCAATTTACTATAATACACTGGGATTATTGTTTGTACTGGTTGGTGCAATAGTTAAAGCAGTGCCATACTAGAGCTGCTCAAATTCTCATCCCATTCCTATTATGCTGCACTGTTCCCATTACACTATGGACAGGGACATTGAGAGCTTCATTAAAGTAAAGAAAAAATAAAAAACAGTTTTGATCTGAAAATAAGCACCACCAGAAAATTCCATTCAAAGCTTGCAGACAGGGCTGAAAGCTAATCTTAACTCAATCCCCACTCTCCTGGGGGTGAAAAGTACTTCCTCAAATTGCCGTAGCATTAATGGCAGCAAAAGACTCTGAAATTATGGTGCTGAAAGCCAAATAATTACCTGAGTACATTAGCAAATGCTTCTCATACTTCAGACCTTTTTAACTTATTTTTTCATTTTAGGCAGCAATTCAGAAGACTTCTTAGCCTTTGATTCTTATAATTCACAAAGCAAGGACCTTGTCAACTGTGACAGTAAGTTACAAATCATTAAATATGAGATTAGGTGGAGAGAGACAAGATACAGTGATTGCAAAAAATATTAACATCTACAAGGAAATGTTGCTTATAGTTTTGTTTTTCTAAACTCCACATCTGCTTCCAGGACTTAGATGCAGATGCCCCACAGGAAGCAGAGCTCAAGTAAAACTCAGGAATTACAAAGAGTCTGTTCAGTCTTGTACCCTATGTAGAAAAAGCAGCTCTAGTTCATCCTGTAAGTATGATGTGTAATTAACAAACAAAGGCCAGCTCTTAAGGGGCAGAAAGCCACACTACACATACCAGGACACATTTAATTTAGTATAAGCACTGTATATCCAACTTTTACACACCTGGTCAAGTTTAATTTCCATGCAAACAGATTTAACTTTCTCTGGTACTTTATGAGAGGAATCCCTTTCATATTTCATTCACAGCAGGAATATCTCCTTTTGCAGAGACACATGAAAGGATATGAAAATTAGGCATTACTGTGCCAACTTTTATAGTGCCAGCCATTACCTAAAATAGTATAAACAAGTACTAAAGGAAATTCCAGCTCTACCCGCATATTGTGTGACATGCAAAGTCAAGGGGAGCCTAATTAAAAAAAATTAAATCATCTGAACATGAACTTTTTAAAGTGACTTAGACTCTCTCTCTAACATAAGAAAAAATGCTTAAAGAGAAATATAAAATTTCCTTAAGAAGAAAGCATAAACTAGCTATTTGTCTCTAGCAAGCCTGTGAAACTATAAATCAAAGTAGTATTCATTATTAAGATTATGACACTGATTATTCTACACTTCCCCACTGCATGAAATTGAATATACACCTGCATTCCATTTGCCAACTAAACTCAAGAGCAAGCACGAAAAAGTTAATCTGTCCTCATTTACAAAAAACTTTAAACATATTGAAGTTTTATTCAGCAGTGATAGTTACTTGATCTTTCATTTATGCTAAAGAGAAAAAAAAGTTAAAATACAAAGAAAATTACTTTTTTTTTGTTTTACACATGGCCTCAACAACTCCAGCTTATTCACAGAAGAGAATCTCCACTCAAAAGGCTCAAAAACCTAAACAGCCAGGTGAAGTTGTAACCAGACTTCATGAAAGGTAAGCTGTAGCAATAAATGTGTAGTACAACAAAAAACCCCATTGCTGAAGATTCAGCACGGAAAAAACACACCAGTTATCATAAGCAGGAATAATATTTTATCTTTTGCAGTGCATGTTGTATATTAGAATTTCACTTTTTAGTGAAATTATTTACTTGAAGAGCATGTGTAAACAATTAGATTAGTTCTTCACTCCTAATGTAATGAAGAGTAAAAATGTAACTTCTTTAGCTGACACATTTAGTAATGAATAAAAAAATTCACTTTAAGAAGATTCAAAAGCGGGCCTGTATTATTAGGATGCAGTTCTGTTTGCTACCAATTACTAATCTATAAGTAATAATCCTACTTTTAATTTCTGTTAACATTAAATTACACCATGAGACAGAAACAAAACTGATTCCTAACAGTAGCACAGACTAGACTGAAATGCAAACAAGTGTTGTCACAGTATTTTTTGATAGCTTTATTCAATAACAGTAATTGCCTGGAAGTAGAGCAGCTGCATTTGAGAATCAGTGGCATAGAACACTGAGAGAGAAAGTTACAGCAGCAGCAGAGTGCTGCTATTATGAGAAATTTTCTTAGTCTGCATCCTCGAACATTTTATGTCTTATTGCAATGCAGACAGAACACAATGATAAACTGTGCTTTACAATTCAATGGAAAATTCTACTCACCATAAAATTAATTTGCAACCAAGTGCTATCAAGGTGTATGTATGTGATTCATAGTTTAGAAGTTCTTTTTCTCACTGAAATTGTATTTTATTCTACATATTTTATCTTTAGGAAATCCTCTGTGGCTGCCAAAACCTGCTGTTCAAGCACATATGGTAAAATTATCCTCTCACATCAATACATACCCAGTAAGAAATCTGCACAAAGAAAATCTGCAATTAACATCAGAAACACAAATGCCAACGATTCCTATGCAAATGTAAGCCTTTTGAGTGAAAATTAAAAGCCATATATTTTTCTTGAAAGGATTACCTCCATACATCACGGCACTGTAGAACATCCCATTCTTAGCAAGCTGATTACAATCTAAGCATGTGTAGTGCATTTGAGGGCAAGACAAGAGGGAGTTCAAACCCCAAGCATTTTGGCTTATATGTTATTATATTTCTTCATATAGGTATGAAGGCTTGTTGTGCAACTCAGTCCCTCTATAAATGGTGAAAGAGACCAAAAAATAGCACTGGATCTTATCTTTAGAATTGTGTTTCATATGCTGAAACAGCCTAGCCTAGAAACAGCCTAGCTAGAGGTTTTGAGAGCTACCCACTATCAAAACCTCAAGAAAGCCTTCTCAGTACCAAAAACATGCACCACACTGGAGCTGATACATTAGAAAAGTATAAATATCCCTCAGTTCAAATGAATACATGATCAAAGAGAGAAATAATTAACAGGTACTCCAACTTGAATCCTAGAGCAGTCTATCACAGGACTCAATTTTTACTTCTCAACACATATTCAGAGTGAAAATTACAAACAAAACCTTAAACATCATCTTTTTCAGTACCTATGTACACATTTGCCTTCACTAAGGCCACATTTTATTATTTCCAACAGGTTTTAAGTTCTACTCTGGATCATGCCATAGAGACAGCAAACAGTTTGAAGAAAGCTACAGAGCGAATGGTACAAGCAGTTTCAGAAGATCTAGCTGAAGTTAAAAGAAAACAGTTTTAATTATGTAGTTCAAATGCTATATTGTTCTGCTGGGTGATACTGAAGCATTAGTATCTCTGCAAAAATCAAATTATGAAAACAAACATGAAAAAGTCAGCTAGCTAACTTTGCCAGTTGTTCTGTACCTATTGGTACTAAGCCAAACCAGAGCACACAGGTACTCCACATTTACACTCAGGCTTAGAACTGTAAAACAATTTAATAATTCTACTGAAATTCTTTATTAGGTTGGCTAATCCCCATTACTGTGTACAGATGCCTTCTCTAAGTATTCACTTAAGACAGCTTAATAAAAATTGGCTTAAACAAGCAAAATTGACTTCTGATTTGGATTCCCCCCCACTCCCCAGTGTGAGAATAAATCTGTCATTACTATATATCATTTCTTCTCACACTTCAAGAGAAATCAGCCTCTGCACCCGAGACATCTAGAAGTAAACATGTTAGCATACCAAGTCATAGTCAACACTTGGAATTATTTTGGTTTTAGAGTGCCCTACACTGAGAGCTGTTTGTTTTTAAGAAACCTCCTTGTATGTTGCAATGACTGAATTACACCATTTGTTGTTTATGTATTTGTAACAACTAAATTGATTCTTTCAATTTGATGTTCTTAATTTGTCAGATATATCTGGCTTTGACATTTTAGCTGATGGCAAGTAGGATGGAAAATTATGAAACAATAAAATAATATATATTAAAATACTGTATAAATTTAGTGAGCCAAGAAAAGTCATCTATTCTTTTCCTTCTAACACCCATTTAACCTCAGTGATTAAAGGCAAGCAGTTAACAACCTTGTTTTATCAGGGATGCTATTCACTGAAGGACTGATGAAAAACAAATTAGAAATGCCAGTACATTCCTTTAAAAGGACAGTCATTTTCAGGCAAACCTGAGCTATTTCATCAGTGGAGGACACAGAAATAATCCAGACTCTTTTCATACAAGCAGTGATTGCTAAACTCACTGCCATGTGCCACTTACTCACTAGCCTGAGTCAATGGCTTTTTTCAGGGCTTCTTCCAGCCCTCGTTCTTCACAGCCAACAATACCATTCAACTCTTTTCCTCCTTAGCCTCTTACTGTATATCTTTATAATTTCATTTGCCTCTCCTTACTATCCCCTGGTTTTGCTTTATTTAGTTTAATGTTTGGAATGTCCCCATTATTTACAAATGGGCTTATTAAATGAAGTAATTGCTGCAGCTTCCTAGATGCAATTAAAAAAGAAATTCATCTCTTTCACAGAAATATCTCCACATCACAAGAGCAGCTTGTTCTGAACCTTTTGTTTATCCTGGATCCCTGCACCTGCTGTCCTGTGCCTGACAGCAACAGCCTAAGAAAGACCAGATTGAATAAGACAATCACAAAGTGAAATTCCTCAGTATATCCTCTGGCAAATTTAAAGCCCAGAATCCTTTCACATCAGCAGTAACATTTATCCTTATTAGCCCTATAAATACATGTCTTATGTTGAGGATTTTTCCCCATATAACAATTTAGAGCATGTCATTACTGAGTGGCATCTTGAATGCTAAAGGTCCTTTCGTTCTGATTTGACAGCTGCAGGTTTCACCTGTCACTTCACACACTGAACAGGAAACAACCCTTCAGTCTGAACACTAACAGAGCTTTTGAGACTTCCATCACACACTCCACCATCATCTTTTTTCACCCTTGATTAAGGATGCTGGTCTAGCCTTTCTTGGAATGAAGATTGTTCCATACCTTTGATTTTCCTTAGTAATTTCTGAATCTTGTCCCAATTTCCAGATTCAACCTTAAAAACCAATTGCTGGGCCCACATGTAGCATTAGATAAGTATTTTAATATGCATAATATGAAAATATGAACTTTCAAAATTATAATATACCTGAAATACAAAGTCTTTATTTATCCTGACAGAACTCTTGCCCATTCTTGATAATACGATTTTTGATCTAGAAAAAACGTAGCAGAGAAGATCCTTGGGGGAAAAAAAACCCCAAATATCTGAATATAACTTCCACTTACCCCTTCATAAGCTGTTTTGATCTACATATTGGTGCCAGATTTCCTATCATATAGCATTTTCATTATTTCACCTTTACAGTAACATTTGGCTTTGCTTTGCCTGATGGAAAAAGTGGATAAGGGATACAAAAAAAAACAGACTAAGACTTTTGAGTTATCAGCTATCAGGCTGAGCTAGTGATAGCACTTAGACCTGAAGCAGAGACATGGAAAAAGATTTAAGTGCTGAAGTTATCCAGAATTGTGAGCTGGTATTTCTTCAACTCTGTGCAATTAAAAAAAAATTCAACACAATGGATTTTATATACTACTGAAATAAATTATTTCAGTCCTTAAGGGTAAAACACTGATAACCGCTATTTTTTTCTGTACTTAACTACTTTCCAGCTTAAGGAATAGGAAAAAATTGCACCTACAATAGCTATAATATAGCTGTTAAAACAAACTTGTGTTCCTCTTGCCAAAGGTGTAAGAAATATATATAATTTTAGTGAAAATTTTCAGTACCAATTCCAAAGTATACATCTTTAGTAAGAAAACACTGAACATAGCATTTCTTTGGTAAGTACTTTTACTCCAGAGTTTTACTGTGATAGAGTTATAAACTAGAATTCACAAAAAAAAGACAGATATTTCTGCTACATTTAAGTGTGTGAGGTACATGGTATTTGATGAACCAATTGATTTAAAAGTGTTGCTTCTGTAGTCCAACTAAAAAAGTCAGTGTAGATTCAATTCCAAATTTAGGTGCATTTGAAAGCTACAGCCACTTATTCTCATCACATCCCATAAAATGTCCTGCAACATTTAGAATCATTACATCATGTCCTCCCCTTTCATTCCTCTCTGACGTAGGGAAAGAACTTGACCTTTTTCCACCTTCTAATTAAATCTGAATGAATTCTTCTAACAAAATCATTCTCTTAAAGTATTGATTAACCTGAAAGCAAAAAAAAACTAAAATAATGAAAAAAAATACTCATCATTGGGAAAATGTAAACAAAAGGACACTAGTAATCTATTCTTTTTCATAATAACATTTGTCTTGGATTCTACATACAACAAACTAACATTTCAAGACACATAAATACAACATCTTGTTAAAAGTTCTGTAATTTTAATTAATTTTTAAAGAGAAATCTAAACATAGCCAGTATTAGAGAATTCATACAATTTGATTTTTTATTCCCTTCAATGCAAATTTAAGTATTTCTTAGTATGTAACAAAAATTTTAAAAAGTAAATTCTTTTGAGTGCAGTAATTTTCTTTGCTTTGTGTTTTTCTTTTCCAAGTTACCAAGCCCTTTCAAAGACTGGGCTGCTTCCCTTTTTGTCCTTTCCCCATGCCTCCACTTCCTCAGAGATATGCTTAGCTTTGGAATTTCTGTATCACAGGCAATTAAAGTTCTGAAACAGACAGACTATGTAGACAATCATAAGGAATTTGCTAAGAAATTAACTTTTAAAAAAGTTTCAGTAATAATCTCTGTATATACTTAAATATAAAGTGTACTTCAGTGCACAGTTGACAGCATTTCTCCAAAGTTGTTTACTGTGATTGGAATGGCTCAATAATTCTGTGATTAACTATCTCCCTTACCCAGCACCATCTAAATAGCTTTTAGATTTTTCACAATTACACATTTTAAAAATTTTCAGCAAGTTATTTTTACAGAAAACCTTACAGTTTATGACACTGAATTTGTATTAAACATTTTTACCATAAACCCATATTTACAAGTTCGCTCTTGAAGTCCCTACCCAAGAGCCTAGGCCCTTTTTAATTCAGTCATTTTTAGAAATAAATGCCATTATAGAAAGTTTTCACTTTCTCAAAGAGAAACTTTTCAGCTTTCTCAAAGACAATTCCACTTTATATATAATTACAATAATTTTTAGCATAATTAGTTAGGAACAAACATGCCCTTTTGAAAAGTACTTGCAGTGTAATACTAAATAGAATCTAAGAAACAGATGTGTTTATCTCTTAATCTCTCTGTCTTCTACTCCCCCAAAAGCAGCAAATTTAAATTATAACATGACCTCCCATTAGGAAATATGTAGTATTGAAGTGCAGTATTTAGAAAAGTCAGTTAGAATATGTACATACTGTTTGTGTTTTTTAATGTATCATAAACATCACCATATCTATTCATCCTTAATGCAGACCATATCCTTGGGTTTGCTAAGGCTCTTCACTTCCTCTAGTAGTTTTCTAGGTGTCAAAATATGAGTAGAACCTGACAAAAGAACATAAGCATGAACTATATCAGTCAAATTCTGACTTTCAGACATTCTCTCTTTAAAACATCAGTTACATGCCAGTGTTTTTTCCTGCACCTGAAAAACTGACGAGTGCAACATTTCCAAGTGTTTTCACATAAAGCACTGTTGCCACAGGCCCCCTGCCGGGTAATCATTAGCATTGACCCTATGATTGCAGAAGGCTGATTAATTGCTTATTATATCATCTTCTACTGTGTCATACTAAATATTACACTAACAAGAGCTATCACTAGCTAGAAAAACCCACGACTCTCTCTTGAGAGTCCTGACACAGCTGTGGATCCAATTGGTCAATGAATCCAAAGCACCATCACCAGTGTCCAATCAAGCAATCACCTCAGGTAAACAATCTCCAAACACATTCCACATGGGCACAAACACAGGAACAGCAAATGAGATAACAACTGTTTTGATTCTCTTTTCTCTGCTTCTCTCACAGCCTTCTCTGGGAAAATGCCTGGGAGAGTCTGTGCCTGCTCTCTGTGGCCAGAGAGGTGCTGCCATAAAGCACCATCATGTGAGTGTCACCATTAGGTAGGCAATGTCCCTCTTCCCACATTCAGGCATCCAGATCAGGACTCATACTTTGAACACAAGTTTCAAGTCCTGCTCTGCCCTGTTTGAAAGGCAGAACTGAACCTGGGCAATTGTCCCAACCTGCAAGAAACCTGCCATTCTGTGAAAGGGTGAGTTAATAAGAGGCTTTACCCTAGAATCAATAAACTACCTGGATTCAAGATTATCACAAACAGTAGTGTTCCACAGAAATGCTACTGGCTTTTACTGACTAACATTTCCTTGAAAAAACAAAATTCAAGTCTGGAGCAGCTAAGAAAATTCTTATTATTCTTCAATGCACAACAATCTCTTTTGTTCTCACAGAGAGTGACTATAACTTCTGCCACAAAGAGTCACCCTGCAGTTCTGAAGGCAACAAGTAGTGTCACTCTGAATGGGCTAATATGCCTGGAGTTCTGAATCAGGAACACAGACAAATGTTAATTTTTCAGTAATCCATGTGGAAATTTGTCAACTATCACCTTCCCTCAAAAACCAGGATTATAAACAAAACTACAAGAATCATCTCTAAACAAAAAGGAAGATGGGGCTGTGGTGAGTGCCAGATACCCCAGTGAAAGAGTCACCTACACTAAATATGGTGTTGTAAACAAGTTTCAGATGAAGAAATAATCTGGTTAAACTACATTCCTGTTGTCTTGATCTTTCCATTACTACTCAGAACTAGAACCAGCATTAAACTTACCTCAACCATCACCACTGAAACCAGCAAATAAAAAATAAACCAAAACAAAACCAACCACACTCAAACACACCTACAACACCCCTGAATATTTTGAAGGTAACAGACTCTAGATTTCAGAATCAAGGTCGGCATTGTTTTAGGGAAGAGTATTTA